TGGTGATATCATGTGTGTGTGTCTGTGCCTGTAAAATAAGTCTAATTATTTCGAATGCTTCAATATATGAAACGAAATTCACGAAGTGTAGACTAGAGCAGTTTTGATTTTATTGTAATAAACACGCAAACAAATCAATCACAGGACCAAAAGCCAGATTTGACATCATTGGAACAAGCTCAAATAAGTAGACAATGCATGCAATGACAGGAATTGCATATGATTCCCAATATGAACTTATTTTGGGCGTTTATTTTATATGAAGCTATACTTTTGAAACATATGATCATCGTGGATTGCTGTATGTACAAGCACCATTGTCATGAATAGTACGACACCATATGTAAAAACATAGACCATCTAGAAAATATATACATAAGACATAATGCATCAGATAACAAAATGTTTCTTGGCTTAATAAGAAGAGGAACGATCAATCAAGCAGGTCACTATCAGCAGTGTTGTGTACTGACCAGTGCTGACCATAATAATAATTTGCATGGCTATGCACTGCGGCCGCTGGACAATAGAATTCATGGAGTGCGATGGGTTTGATGGATACATAGTAAATCATTTTTTGCATAAATCTACATTCTTCAAGGTAAAGAAAAGTTATGTAGAAATAGTGGTCCTGCAAACAGACACAGTCTTACATGTAGTTTATGTGAGCTTATTAAGCACCCTGAAATGATTCACATGCATGTCTACTTGAAGTACACGTTACATGCACGAGCGTTGGTTGATGTTCTAAGCCTCACGAAGAAGTAATTGCATATAACTGTTGTGGACACTACACAAGTCATATAGGTGTATCCACTAAACCATCCTCCAAAACAACACTCGAACCTTGCACTTTGTGCCACATTCCTGACCAAACATATTCCAATATTAGAATACAGAACCTTGATGTCTCCAAGTCCGATTATACTATTACCACATTATAATATTACCAAACGTCTCCATTTAAGAAGCATTTATATTCAAATCTAGCAAATAGAACGAGTCTTCAGTCAACGTCTTCAACACTCCAGGAGTCGTACCACGTCAGCACCGATCGCGACATTATCAGAGCGACCACCACGACTCTGAAACCTTTTCCCTGAAACAGAACATCAGAAAATATCTACTGCTGGAACCAATGTGAATTTATAGTGTTTTTGAGGGAAAGGCCGTTGATGTTTTGGAGGTGGAGGGGATGGGGGTGGAGGGGGTTTGTTTCATTGTTTAACAAATACTGGAGGCAATATTTTGACCGCAGAGTTTACATTTAAAATATAACTGTTCACTGGACCCATGGGATGTCCTGAAACAAATGTGTTGTGGTTCCTAACAATATTATCGGACCTTTAGTCGGTATAGTCAATGCTTTATCAACTGTTACCTGTAATGTGTGTTCCGTCCTGGTGCAGGCATACCTTTGCTTAAACCTAAGGTTAATACATTGGCGTACCTCCGAGACGTCTTGAAGATCATTTTTCACCCTGGATATCAAGCCTGAGCCTATTTCGGAAGCTTGACAACTGTTGCTGCTGAATATTATTATCCTTGTCTTTATTGCTGTTGTATTTATACTGCCATTGTACTTGTACTGCCATTTGATTTTGTACTGCCATTCCATTGTGTACTGTCAATGTAATTACTTTGAAGGAATTTGTATTAAATTGTAAACCTAGTTAATTTTATAATACAATTGGAAGTCGACACATAAAAGCATACATTATCCATATCACCATGTTCATTCTAGCTTTGCATAAATACATGTTGCTTTATCCCATTGCCTAAAAACATATAGTTTGATCCGTGCTTGAATTGACAAAGGAAATCTTATCATGAATCTTTTCTCAACCAGCAATTGTCCACACTAAATTAGGCAGCACATTTGACACAAGCTATTCAGGAAGATACATTAATTGATGGTAATTTTCTTTAATGTCGACTTTGAGCAGAGCCTAAATTTGTTTTGACATGAAAATGTTGCATATTGACACAGTTTTGTAGTCTACTTCCGGAATGGGCCTGTATAGGCTACCATTCATCGCAGCATATTTTAATTCTATACGCAGGATAAATACATTTATCATATAATGGGTAGGTTTCTTGGCAGGATAAAGCCAACGGATAAAAACGATATCCGTTGGGGTTATAAGCGGATAAGGATGCAAATTTTAAAGGTCAAGTAGGGACTACTTTCACTGTTTATAAACAAACATGTCGTCGCCCTCGTCATTCGGCGATCGAGTCAGAATTAACTATCGGGAATCTGGATAAACTATCATTATCAAAAGAACAGTCTAATATACTGAAAATCAGTGTCTAACTGTGACGTAGCTAAGGCATTTTATAAGTTTTGTCAACTTTGGAGATATAAATTTTGAAACAATTTTGCGAGGGCACTAGGCCTAGCCAAGCGAGATCATTAGCAACATCTGTGCTTGTAGACCTCTGCAGCTTGAAACCTTCTCCACAAATTAAAATAGTTGGATTTGGACGAAATATGTTTGAATTGTTACTTTGTTACGTTTTGTCGCTGTGTGTACATCTGACTACACTTCTTAACGTTATGACAGGACAGACCGACTGCCAACAACGTCTGACCGTGGCCGTGACGTCTCATAGACTAGGGTTAGAGTAGCTTCCCTTTGACAAAGGGCAGTTACTCTAGCGGACAGACCGATGGATTGCCGCGAAAGGCAATTAAAAACTAGTATTGTTGTTGCTTCGCCACTGTATAAGAAACAGTTTTCAGTTGGAACTAAATTGGCTACTTGCACTGTCCGACTGACACATCACCTAGCCTGTGATGTAATAAATATCAATGCGCGCATTCCAGGAAAACTCGCAGTGTTTCGGTAATGTTTGTGACAGAGGGAAAGCGATTTTGAAGCACAGAATTAAAGAATGACATTATATGATAAAGAGGTTATCACGCTTGTGTGTTTGGGGATGGTAAATATCCTGTATTAGGAATAAACACTATGTATTTAGCTCGCCAAGGCTCGCTAAATACAATGTTTGTGGTTTGTGATTGTTCATAAATGCCATGTGTGCATCTTGCATCAATAATATGGAGGAATGATCGTCGATAATGGAATAATTTGGCCAATAATAGCATTGGCCAGTCTTGGCCTGGACCGGTCCGGCTTTAAAGCAATCCCCTCGCTGGGTGTATTCAGTATGGTGATACTACTGACTCAACACTAGCCTCCAATCTGGTCACCGTCTACCCCGACAATGACTCACAGTCTCATCAAAATGAATGAATATGTTTACAATTATTAGTGGAATCCCTCATCCAAGTGGTAGCCCTAGCAGCGGTCCCATACACTTGTATCGAGTTGTTTCAAGCTATGTCATCTCAGAACCATGTCAAATACAATATGTCATATACAATTTTCAAATAGTTTTTCTATCTCAACATTACAAGAACAATGATTCATCAGTATCGGTATAATTCTGTACACTGCAGGTCGCCCTTAAAAGATCTGGTACAGAACGTTTTATCAACAGTTGATGCCAATTTTCTAACGATCAACACCCTCATCTTATTATGCAACTGGATATTACACAACACACCAAGTTAAAGCCTCAAAGTGTATTCAAGCCTCCCCCACTATAACACACATACGTTATGTAAGCCTTCCCCCAAAACATACGTACGTTATGCAAGCCTTCCCACTTTAATTTATCACCCGTATGTTATGCAAGCCTCTCTCACTATATCACACTTACAGTATTCAAGCCTCTCCCACTATAACACACATACGTTATGCAAGCCTCTCCCACTATAACACACATACCGTATTCAAGCCTCTCCCACTATAACACACATACGTTATGCAAGCCTCTCCCACTATAACACACATACCGTATTCAAGCCTCCCCCACAATAACACACATACCGTAATCAAGCCTCCCCCACTATAACACACATACTGTATTCAAGCCTCCACCACTAAAACACGCATACTGTATTCAAGCCTCCAACACGATAACACACATACTGTATTCAAGCCTCTCCCACTATAACACGTATACCGTATTCAAGCCTCCCCCACAATAACATACATACCGTATTCAAGGCTCCCCTGCTATAACACACATTCGTTATGCAAGTTTCTCCCATTCCGAGTTCGAACTTAACCCCAGCAACCCGTGATTGTCGTACGAGGCGATTTTATGGATCAGGTGGTCAGGTTCGGTGACTTAATAGAACGGGTGGTCAGGTTCGGTGACTAAATAGATCGGGTGATCAGGCTCGGTGAGTAAATAGATCGGGTCGTCTGGTTCAGTGACTAAATAGATCGGGCAGTCAGGCTCAGTTACTAAATAGATCGGGTGGTCAGACTCGGTGACTTAATAGATCAGGTGGTCAGGCTCGGTGACTAAATAGATCAGGTGGTCAGGTTCGGTGACTAAATAGATCGGGTGGTCAGGCGCGGTGACTAAATAGATCGGGTGATCTTTGTGGATATCACACAAGCAGGTTTTTCAAAGGCCTGAGTGTTAGACCGGCTGCAACTTGAAGACATTTAGAATGTATTCTTTTCATAATATTTATTTTTTTTAAATCCCCAAATGTCAAAACCATACTTCAAAATCGGAGCAATCGTTGAGAATGACATTATGTCATAAGAGATCAGTACGCTCGTGTGTATCCGTATCGTCAATATATTCCTACAATATGACATTGGGGTTACACACGAAGGTAATAATTCATATATCCTTTTACGTCCCTCGAGCCTCAAGTGCAAACAACAGCTTGTGATAACATAATATCAAATATTCATAATTAATTCTTTTAAGATAAGGGCTTGCAACAGGGAAAACCAGACATAACCTTGCAGAAGTTCGATTTATCATCTAGGTCCACCATGACGTCCTATCTATAGCTATCTTTAACCTTTTCTGTCATATGACCCAACATCACCAGTTTGTCCTGAACCTGAGATGACATATTTTGACTTGTTTCTGAGCTTATCAACAAACCTCTCCCAGCCCGCATTACGTCTCCACCGAGAGACGGTGTCAGGACACAAGGTGAGTTGGAGTGCTACACAGCATTTAGTATTGGTCGTGGTAAGTGACTGTTAAAGAAGGGGGAGGGGTAAAATAATTGTTTTGATTAATATGAACATTTTTAAGGGACAGAGCATTTATTATAGGGTGGGGAGGGGAAATGAAACATATCCCCTCTCCAAACCTAATTGCACTATATGACCAATCCCTTATTTTAAATGTATACACAATATTACGTTGTTTAGATATGTTGAATGTATGCTGTATTACACGGGGTGTTCATTGGCGAACGTAATTGAATGGTGTTAAAAACTGATGACCTTATGTTCTACCACCCTCACACCCAGTGTCCTATATCTCCATTCTAGCATGATCATCTTATTATGGAGAATGGGGCACTAGTGGTCCAGTCGTCTTTAGGCGCCGCGATTCGCTGTGCAGAGTTGCGTCCCTTGGGAACGCCAGATATCTATGATTGTGGGTTCGAATACCGGCTCGCCCCGATTATGTTTCTAGGTTTTTCAGCACCATACCCGTCCTCGTGGGTCTCACCGAAGTGTTAAACGTCTGAGACTTGCATCACTTCGGGCTTTCCTCTCACATTAAGCTGACACGCCGTGATATAACTAGAATACTGTTAAAAGCGGCGTTAAACCCACTCACTCACTATTATGGAGAATACAGAAGGGACATCCTATGTCTAGACGTGTGTTGTGTGAAAGTGAGACATTGTCTTGTTGAAGAGATCATTAACAGTCCATCCCTCATTTAGTCTTATCCTCAGTGGCGATCTGTTAATTAATTATATACTTTCTTTTGCCCACTAGTTTATTATAGGTAAAACAAATGTTTACGCAAGATGTGGTCAGGTGGGCCAGACACCAAACTGAGATGGTGTTCCCAAGACTTCCTCACAGAATGCCGATCTGAAACATTGCCGCTTTTGCAGCCAAATTGTTACTGTAGTCTATGAATTTTGGTGCTGAGTATAAAACCATCTGCTATATTAGGAAATTTTAAATGTACACTTTTCAAATGATTTGTTTTATAAAATCCCCAAAATTTCGAATCATACTTTAAAGTCGGGGCAAGCGTTGTGCTAATTCACATATAGTCAAGGGGACAGCTATTTTACTTTATTGTTTTGTTTTGAATACCCTGCTGATATGTTTTCCGGTGAGGTATGCTCTGTGGAATTACAGAATATAAGAACAAATAATACATCTCCCATTAGAGGTCGTCAATGTACATATGGGCTGAGTACAGATGACGATTGGAGTAGTCTATTATTCTATAGGTAGATTCATTTTGGCCCCTTTTTTAAGTACTCATGATGTGAGTGAGCGGAATAAATTACAAACAGACTCTAACTAGCACTCCTTCACTGAACAAACCAATCTGATTTTGTGTCTATATAGCTAGTTGGTTTATAATTCGTTTGTAATTCAAACTATGAACAAAATTGATTATACGACTGTTGGTATTGGTCAGAAATTGGTCATTTAGTTCGTGTATTTGTTTCAAAGTAAACCGTGTACACGCAACCTGCAGTCTTTTTAGGCATTGTAAACTCAACACTAAAATCTGTCAGTTATCCTCGACATGGGCTGGAAGAACGTTTACAAAGATTCTTAATATGAATTGTCAATAAAATAACTTCCTACACACGGAAGCTCGATACACTAATTACTATATCAGTTCTCTAGTGAGTTAATTACCATATCATCCAAAGGTCGTACGACTGTGATGTTCTGCTTCACACACAAAGACGACCATAGATCAAGGTGATGTGAACAATGGTTGTATCACTGCTGTTTGTTGGATAAAGATACCACGTCAATTACACTCAGTTTGTAGTCAGTTAGGAGACTGTCACCGTCAGTGGTTGGGATGACCCTGTCTATATACTCCTATCATTAACATTATACATAATGACTCGTGAGTTAAATACCTTTGAACGGTTGGGTGTTGTCAATACGTGCCGGTTTCTGTCCAAGGTTAATCTCCCTGCTGTCAGGCGGGGCTGGTGATTGGGCGTCTGTACTCGAGTCAAAGGTTTATCTCTGAATGTATTGTAGCTGTTGCAGGTTGGGGGACGCTAGATCTGTTGAGTGGTTAACGTTCCGTGGTTCGATCCCAGCGTGGACATAGATTGTTAACACACCCGTCTTGATCTAATTATAAGGTATGTGGTCTCTGGTTTTACAGACATTTATCGTCGTAACACATGCACAATCTCTTTATCAGTTGCCTTATTCTTATTCTTTTGTCGGTAGTGGCTATCATTGGAGTACGACGTCGGACACGTGTATGGGTGCGTGACACTTGAATGCATGATCCAAGTATACAGGACTTTGTTACTTGTGATAGTTTAACTGTTATAGATATGCCGTGTGAGGCCAAAGAAGCCATGAGCAAGTATACTCTTCAAAATAAGAAACGCAATACGAACATTTTGGGCCATTTAAGCAATAGTAGCTGACAAAGAGGTGCACAATGAAGAGATTTAACTTTTGTGGTGTCAGTGACAAAGTTTGCGGATGAAAATGACTACAACAAGGACATGCAAACCATTAGTCGGGAAACACGTACGATTCGGAAAAAGGCACCCAGGGCATTAACAAAAGGGCGATTGAGCTGCACGTAGCCAGGAATTCCAATGTAAGGTCCAGCACCATCACAGTGCTATGGGATCGGTTTCAACAGCATGGGTCACCATGTGAACGGCCAAGGACGACAAAGAGTTACCACCCCCGCCCAAGATCGCTACATCCGACTGTACCACTTACATGAAAGCATAACCACAGCCACCTGAACCGCATCCCAAATACCCGAACTACGCAGAATCTCCGAACACATTGTACGAAACCGTTTAAGAGCAGCAGGTCAACAAGCAAGACGTCCTATTCGACGCGTCATATTAAGTCGACAACATCATCAACAACGACTGCATTGGTGTCGTCAACACCGGCTGTGGCCTCAACTGCGATGGATGTCTTGTTCAGCAACCAATGAAGATTTCGCCTCCGTCGAGGGGGTGGAAAAGCACTGGTCTACAGACTTCGGGGAGAACGTTTCACCGGAAACTGCGTACAGGAAGCGGACAGGTTGGGTGGGGGTAGTGTATTGATGTTGGGGGCTATCTCTCATCATGGCAGGACAGGTTTGGTGGGGGTAGCGTTATGATGTTGGGGCAATCTCTCATCACGGCAGGACAGGTTTGGTCCATATCCAGGGCAATCTTTCGACTCAACGATACATCAACGAAATTCTCCAACCACACGTCCTCCCAATTGCAGCCAACGGCAACGGTGTATTCCAGCAGGATAACGCTCGACCGCATACAGCACGGATCACAAAAGCCTTTCTACACAACAACAATGTTGATGTTCTCCCCTGGACCCCACATCCCCGTATTTGAACCCGATAGAGCACCTATGTGTGTGTAGAGAGTGTGTGTGTGTGTGTGAGAGAGAGAGACAGACAGACAGACAGAGAGAGCCTTAGAGAGACAGAGAGAGTCACAGTGAGATATATGCTTCCAATAAGTCTCATCTGTATATATGCCTTCGTACAATATATACTCAACAACAAAAGTTCCTGTGACACCAACATTGTAGTGTATTTTTCAAACAAGTAAAGTTTGGTTTTCAATATTGTAGTACATGTATGGAATCAAGCCACGAAAAGGCAACTACTACAGAAAAGCATGTATTCTATGCAAAGGTTGACCTATATGCAAGCCCCATGCATTTCATTACCCAAGAATGGGTATGAAACATGTGCGTTAACGGGATTCCATATGTATTGTTTAACATCGTGCTGACAACAAACACTCAGAAAAACAACACAATTACGCAATTATTCAACATTACGAAATGACACGCCTGTCCGAAAATGAGCGTCTGCGAGCCATCGGTATGCTTGAAGCAGGATCGAGTCAACGTGATGTTGCAAGACAATTTAACGTCCACAGAAACACCATTTGGTGTTTATGGCAACGTTGGCAACAAACGAATGCAGTCACGTCGCTGCCACGATGTGTTGCAAGACAATTTAACGTCAACCGAAACACAGACAAATACAGTCAGAGACCATCCTCAGAGTGGCAGGCCACGCGTAACCAATAATCGACAAGATAACTGGATTCGAACAACACACCTACGAAATCGATTCCAGCCAACAACAGTGACTGCAAGCAGCATCCCTGGCCTTGGACGAATATCTTCATAAACCGTACGTCGCCGCCTCCAATGTGCAGGGAGGTCGCCACGAAGACCCGCCAGATGTCCCATTTTGAGAGGAAACCACCGTCAATGACGTCTACAGTGGTGCAGACAGCATCTACGCTGGACGGCCATGCAGCGGGGTCAAGTTCTATTCACTGACGAGTCTCGTTTTAACAGCGATGTACGGATTCGAGTGTACCGACGTCGAGGTGAACGTTACGTCAATCATTGTGTCATGGAAGAAGATCGGTTCGGGGAGGCAGTGTTATGGTATGGGGTGGGATTACAGCAAGGCAGAGGACCCGTTTGATAGTGGTAGAGGGAAATCTTAATGGACAGCGCTACTGCGACGAGATGATCGGCCCTGTTGTTCTACCGTTTTTGCGTCGTCATGGCATTACCTTTCAACATGCCAACGCCCGGCCTCATATTGTTGACTTGTTCAGGAATCTCTTCAACAAAACAACGTGAATGTCATCCCCTTGCCGGTTCGCTCCCCTGATCTCTCACCAATCGAGCACATGTGGGATGAGATGGATCGGTGACTTCGACGTCAACCACGTGTTTCACAGACACTCCAGGAACATCGAAACATGCTCCAGCAGACAGATATCCCACAGGACTTTGTGCGACGCCTGGTCCATTCCAAGAGACGAAGACGTGTTGCTTGCATCGCAACCAGAGGTGGACACTATTGATTTGTAAATTGACGTTTTGGGATCATTTTTTTTTTTATGAAATCACGCATTTTCTGAAGTCAGTATGGCAAATTACACCATTTGAACACTTGCAGGAGTCTTTTATCTGTTGCAAACCGAAATTGTTCAGATTTGTGAAAACATAACTTTGCATTAAATCTTATTCAGTGTCACAGGAACTTTTGTTGTTCAGTATATATAATATCCACTTTTGACTATCATGCGGTTTCTTCCACTATGTTCATTTGGTTGTAGTACCAATTAACATATTGATGTTTGTGTGATGTATGTAAGTAATCATAATCATATTATTATTTTTAATCGGACGTTGTCATCCATATTTTTTTTAAATATTTGGAGAGAGACGCATTATGGAAAATAGAAGTATAATACACTTGATTATCAAGGATGTAGGCATTCGGAAAACGTTTAATGTATTTTTCTTACTTCGTTGGGTATACTCATCACGTGGCACCACCCCACAATTCAAATGCTACAGAAGTCAAGTCCATTCGCTAGGCCCTGTATGGCCAGTGAAGTGTGGATGGCGGCATGATTTAATCCTTTCAATAGATCTTCCAATTGCGAGGATCGATGCTCATGACCGGATTGTCTGGTCCAGACTCGATTATTTACAGAATGTCATCATATTGAATGAATATTGCTGAGTGAGGCGTTAAACAACAAACGAACAAAAACATCTTCAGTAGTTGACAAATCTACAGTAAACGGAATAATACTATAGCTCACCATTCTATTGTTTAATTTCTTTGTTTCTTGAGTTCCTTTCGACATGATATAAACTAACGTCCAAAAGAAACGACACTATCCATGTTTTTAAAATACTTTTGTTATAGGTGATTTATTTTATAGGAAAACATACTTAAACATATCCCTCGTATCAAACCCGATTTGGTCGGTGGGAAAAAGCAGGAAAATTTGACAACTGGTGTAAAACTTGTGCACTTTGCAAAAAACGATGTCAGGTGTTGTAGCACGTAATGCACGTGCAGATCTATTGTATAACACTGCTGACCCGACGCGTTAGGAACACAACACCAAAAAGCACACCAAAGAAATGGCACGTTTAACTGCAATAGAGAGGTAGAGAGCCGTCGGGATGGCCCAACAGGGAGCGACGCAAGCCGTCATTGCCAGAACGTTTGGATGCGCCCGTATAACCGTTACCAGGTTGATGCAACAGACCCGCCGAGAAGCGGAAGACCACGGGTGACCACGCCCAATCAAGACCGCTACATCCGGACGATTCACCTCCGAAACCGCTTCGTCACGTCGACACAGGAACAGTCGACAAACCGTGTACAGGAGCTACGAACCAATGGTATCAGAGCACATCTACCCTACCGAGGAGTGTTGTTGACACCTCAACATCGCCTCAACAGACTGATGAGGGCCAGGATGTGGGCAACAGGATGACTGGGCACGTGCTATGTTCTCTGATGAGAGCAGATTCTGTCTCTTCAGGAACAGAAGTGTTTAGCGCAGAATTGCATTCCTCAAGTGCGGGCATTTGGAGGCGGAGGTGTTATGGTCTGAGGGAATCTTTGGTGCCTTGAAAACGAGGCGCGTTGTTGTTCATGGTAACATAAATGCACACCGATATAGAGATAAATCTTGCGGCCTGTTGCGGAACCATTCATCCAGCAACAGCCCCGTGAAATCATTTTCCAGCACGTCAATGCGACGCCGGATGCGACGCAGAAGTTCCTTAACAACGTGAACATTCAGGTTTTACCACGGCCGTCATGCTCGCCGGACATGAACCCCATTGAACATTTATGGAACTATCTCGATGGCTAAATCAGAAGTCGCCCAGTGGCTCCGGTCAACAGCCAGCAACCGGAGCACTGCCTCTTTGACGAATGGAATGGCAACGTCATCCGACGTTTTGCGTCATCGGCCAAACGACGTGTTCTGTCTTGCATTAATGGTTGACATACTCGATATCAACGTGGCATTATGATGAGTATTCTGACATTTATCACACTTGCCTCGTCATGTGCTATGACTGTGACTTTCATTGTTTTCCACACGCTTCCCTAAGGTAACTTTTGAATAAAATGAAGTTTTGTGCACATGATTTTAAATAAGACATTCTCCCTTTCGCCAATGCCCTGTTGCAAGTCCCTATTGTGTATGACGTAATTGTAAATATTTGATGTTATGTTAACACTAACTGCATCGAGTGTTTTATTGTTGAGGACAGCGGTTGTCATTGGTCATAGAAAATATTACCCTTGTGTGTTTTGTCTATATCATATAGTAGGAAAATAACTTGTATTATGGAACCTTTGGTTGTAACATACCTACATGTATTGCATCACTTCGGGATTTCCTCCCACATTAAGCAGATACGCCCAGGCGTAATTGGAACAATATACACTCTAGCTTGATAACAGTGTGAGAATCTACATAGAAACGTCGCTAAATGCAATTCGCCAAAGCATAATGTATATAAAGTTGTATGTTTTTTCTTTACTCCCTAACTTCAAGAATGTCAACTGAATGACTGTTCAAAGGGGCGTTAAATCCAACTCACTCACTCATTTATAGAGGACGGACAGTTCAGAGAAACCCGCGTTACTTTTCACAAACTCAGGTCACTTGTTCAGTGTTTAAAATAGAGATGTATTTTACATGCATCATGATTGGTCACTACTGTCAATATTAACTATATTGTCATTGCTATCAGATATTCAGTATTTCCAAATCTGCACATCACACAATAAAACATGTATTAACCATTAATTACCAGTCCCTAAAATACGTAAATGATCTTAAACAGTATATATTCCTTTGTTTCAGATGGCAGCCGCCAGAAAGCTGGATAGTCTGAACGAGAACTTCTTGACCTGTTCCATATGTACGGAGGGATACAAAGACCCCTGTACTCTGACCTGTGGCCACACCCTCTGTAAGGACTGCCTGGGGAAATTCCTGAAAACCAGACAAGACGCCATCAGAGCCAAGTCCATCCCGTGTCCCTACTGTCGTCAGATGACCGGAGTTCCCCAGCCTGACAGACCAGTGGAGGAGTGGGTGAAACAGATCAAGCCAAGTTTCCTCATACAGGGACTTCTGGACACTCTGGCCTGTGGGGGAAATACTGATCATGGTAAGTAAATGTGATCTAGAAGAAACGGATATTCTCCCTGAAGCGGGAGATCCCTGGCCGCATCTTACCCAACGACGTAAAAGAGGGTATTGATTATTGCTCTGCCAGGTGCTCGAGATTAAAGGTATACAAGTGGGACTGGTGGGCTCGTAGTCAGTAAACTGTGCGTGCGTGGGGTATCCATGTTAAACTCCACCATCTCAGTGAGCTGGTTCTATTAAACCAGCTTTGATATGGACTAGTAAAAGAAACGACACACACAAGCCCACAACCACTACATAAGTGCAATAATCTTGAGAGCGATGATAAACCTTTGTTTTGAATTATAACCTCGCTGATTCAGTTTCCACTGAATCCAAGAACCCAAAATAGAGTATCTTAAAGGAGAGAGACTGTGACGCTATCATCCAGCAGGTTCGCTTTCCTGAATGACCGAGGTAATACCAAACCAGGTTCAGTCTATGTACGTTCATGCAACATCCAAATGGTGATGGTAAACTGTTTATTGTAGATGAAAGTAATCAAGACGAAACTGAAGGGTCACCTATATTTTTCAGGATTATCTAGAATAAACCTTGGTCATTTCACTTTCGAAATCTATACATGTAGATTATCCCAAGGTGAGGAAACTTTCCGGACACTGAAAACGTTGAACCAAACAATGGTCAGAATTAACATTTATTCTTGATTCACCCTATGTATATTTATATGTTCCATTAAACGTTATCTCATTATTGTGTTAAATATTGCACGTTTGATGTGACAGGTTTATCCATGACTTGTTCAGATACAGAAAACCGTTGCCATCCCTGCCAGAACCTGGGAGAAAGTTATCCGGCCAACTCCTACTGTCAAGACTGTGATGTGCCGCTCTGTGAGAGATGTGTGAAGATGCATGCGTCTCTTCCTTCTATGTCAAACCACGTGATTGCTGACCTTGGTGAAACAGTGAAGGTCACTAGACGACAGAGGTGCACAGAACACAACGAAGTCATGGATTTCTGCTGCAGAGACTGTAATAAGGCAATTTGCCCAAAGTGTTGTATCATATACCACAGGAGATGCGACTCTGTGGTCACTATTCAGTCCATGATGTCTGAGATGAGAAGTGTTCTTACACACAATAAGGGATTGATCAAAGAGAGCTTTGACGACACGGAAAGATCACTTCAACAACAAAAATCACAGATTGATGTGATCAGTGACAACAAAGACAAAATAAAGTCACAGATCAGACAGGCCTCACAGAAAGCCATGGACGTGATTAAACAGAAGGAGAAACAGCTGCTGGAGGAGCTGAATGAGATGACAGAGAAGCAATCTGGGCCACTGAGGGGGCGGATAAAGTCGGGGGAAATAGACATGCAGATGTATCAACAATACATAGAATACATCACCCAGGTGTTGAAGTCTGGGAGTGAGACTGACATGTTTGACATTTACCAGATGTGTCAGTCTGGGGCAATCAAGGAGGCAACAGACAGGGATGTCACTTTCACAGGCAGCTTTCGTGATTCAAAACTTATATTTGTGAGTGAAATAGATGAGAGGAAATTACACAAGGATGTACAACGTGGTAGAATTCAACAGAACGTTTGTGACGTCATGGATACGCGACTTGAGTGGCACAGAGTGGCACATTTGACGTCATGTGCAGACAAGTGTTACACAAGACAGTCGCCATCAAGGTCGATGGCGACAGGGAGCAGCCATGTACATGTGACGTCACATTCCTGGTTGTGGATGGTGAGGAGACACTGGTGGTCACTGACTACAACAATACATGTCTGAAATCCTTCTACACAAAGAATAACACATCACGACACAGTAAACTGGATCTTCCAAGTAAACCATGCTCTGTGACGAGGCTGAGGGACAACCAGGTGGCTGTATCATTCTGGTCACACAATGAGATTGTAATAGTACGGGTGACCCCTGACCTGGTGCTACAGTCACATGTCACAACAAAGAAGGAGTACAAGTGTCTAACAGCTGTGCGTCCTTCAACATTAGCAGCAGGTTGTTGGAATCCTCCCTCTGTTGATATCCTGGATGTATCGGGGAGAGTGATGAGGTCAGTCAGTACATTCAACACTGGGAAGAACCTGATGCGTTACCCCAGCTTCCTCTGTGCTACAGACAGGGGCAACATCCTGGTGTCAGATGATGGCTCACACTCTGTCTACTGTATCACACCAGAGGGAGATGTTGTGTTCACCTACACCCCTACAGGAGAGAGGAGACTGAGTGGACCACGAGGTATCACAACTACCAGCACAGGACACATCCTGGTGGCGGACTGCTGGGCACACGAGGTGGTACTACTGACACCAGCAGGGGAGTTTGTCAGAGACCTGCTGACGTCACATGATGGACTACAGGATCCATACGGCTTGATGTTCTGTGACTGTAAACTGTATGTGGTGGAAACTAGTGGAGATGCTGTGAAGGTATTCAACTGCAGTATTCCCCAGTGAGACGCCAGGAAGCAAAACATACTCGGATCACAAACACGGGGAAATTGTTATGATGAAAATTCAGAAATATGCCCCAAATGAACAGTTTGTTTTGTGTAAAATACCTCAAACGCCAACCACATTTGGACATAGATTGCAGTAATTAGTGAATATGATAATACACCGCTTTTAGCAGTATTCGAGCAATACCCTTACAACAACGGGGTCGCGTTGACCAACTGAACTTGGGACATCGGCAGGACGAGCGAACGTTTGTTTCCGCATACGCATGACAAGCACATAATGAATTATTAGATTAGTTGTGGCTTTTTTAGATTAAATATGGGGACAAGACAAGAATTATGCAGGTCGTAGACATTTACAACTTTGGAGAAACCCAAAAGCACGGAAACAGTGCTGACAAACCTAGAAAATTAATCAGGGCGAATCTGGGATTCAAACCCACGACTATAGGTTCCTGTCACGTCCAAGGGACGCAACTACGTACCTCAAATCTCAGCGCCACAGGGTACCACATACGTTCTGTGAGGCAAAGGAATTTAACCCTGATTTTTGTACCTACTCAAATAGCTACACGTTCACTTACATTATCCAGGAAGACTGTTTACTGGCGTTACTATCAATAACTCTCGCTGATAATACTTTTACTTTATATGTTTTAAACATGTTTCAAGAAGTCTCTCGTAAACTTTACCAGACTGGATATTGTACAGTTTTATTGTTTCAATAAAATGTTATAGTTTTATTATGTACAATATGTGACACTATAATAAAATATATCTTATCTTATCTTATCTTACATCTACTAATGAATACATACGTCAGGTATTTGTCAGAGCTGATCGGAGAACCACTATCATAAATGTAAAAGTCATATTTCATGTATATTAAATAAACTTGTCAGTGACATACGCATTTTAATATCCCATTGGTGAGATTGTTTGTTGTTTTACGCCGCACTCAGAAACATCCCAGCTATAAAACAGCGGTCTGTAAATACTCGAGTCTGGAGTCAGCGAGCCTGCCGACCCGATTCTGTAGGTCGCCTCTTTCGAAAGGCACACTGAAATCTTCACGGGGTTGATAAGCCCTTGATGAAGTCAAGTTTCACTTTTAACTTTGTACAATATTTCTTCCATTGTTGTGCGTTTTGTCGCATATCTTCTCTTCCATGAGCGAGCTTCATAATTTAAATTCCATCTGAGTAAGTAAAGACAAATGAATTATCTCCCTTTGACCACGACGTAGTTGGTGTCAAATGCTCTATGAAGCAACACATTTCATATATGTTTCCAGGATATAAAAAAAGAAAGGATCTTGATTATATATATGTAAGTTATCATCTTTCAACGAAACGGGTTGGAACTGTCCACAAGTACCATTCACGCCATCGTTTGACAACAAAAGAAAGGCATTCTAAATGCGGAATTGTGTTATACATTAGTTAGCGGGCTACCTGATGTCGATCTTACAAACCCAATGCTTCAATTCTTAATGACATTCACTCGTGACAGTTTTGACAAAACAAAAGGCAACTATGCTTGTCGTGGGAGGCGACGAACGGGATCTGGTGGTCAGGCTCACTGACTTGGTTGATGCAATTCATCGTATCCCAATTGCGTGGATCGATGCTCATAATGTTCATCACTGGATAGTCTGTTCCAGACCCGAATATTTACAGACTGCCGTTATGTAGCTGGAATATTGCTGAGTTGGGCGTTAAACAACAAACAAAACTCTAGTTTGTGGTGAGGGAGGGAGTCAGTCATGCTTGGTTATAATGGTGACTGAGTGTTACAACGTGTGACACTGATTGTGTGTCATTGCTGCCCTCATCGAAAGTCGAGTGCAAGGATTGCTGTTAATAGAGCCCACGACACATATGGACCTGTGTCATTGCTGTCAGCCTGTGGGCTGCATGTCCCATACTCGACTGTTTGTATACAGGCTGATATCACTGAAATGTTGCTGACTGGGGGACGTCCATGTATCTCCATGTTCCCGCAGAGCTTCTCTGATGATCCCCGTTTGATGACCATACTTAATATATACACGTACAAGTACGGACAATGATATGGTGTTAAGTATTGTTGTTTGTGGTCACTCAGACATATCAGAATGTCTACACCAGTCATTAAGGTATGTTAATTTCTTAGTGCTTATTTATATGGACATACAAATATTTTCGTACAGGGAGCACGGTTAGCTGTGCAGAGTTGCGTCCCTTAGGGAAGCCAGAAACCAATGATTATGGTTGCGAATCCCGGTTGGCGGGGGATATAGAAATGGGATCCGTCCGTCCGTCCATCCGTCCGTCGCGTTTCCTTTACGGAGCATAATTCAGAAACCGTTCAGCCGTCATATAGCTGGAATATTGCCGAGTGCGGGGTTAAACAACAAACCAACCATAAACCTTTCAATATTTTTTCATCAAACTTTGCAGGCCGTCAAGTACATGCTGAACTGGTACCTTTTGCTATTTAGAAAATAAAGAAATGTTTATTTTTTACGTTTCCTTGGCAACAAGATGGACTTAGGTTCTGTGAGGGTAGGTTTCGTTTCCGGAGCATAACTCATAAACCGTTCAATATTTGTTCGAGAAACTTTGCAGGTTTGTCAGGTACATGCTGAACAGGTGCCTTTTGCTATTTAGAAATTTTAGAAATGTTTCCATGGCAGCAAGATGGACTTGCTCGGTTAAAAAAGGTTAGGGTTTGCTAATTTTAAAAACCACACTTCATAATTTTATGTAAATAAAAATCTCAGCCTACAACTGCATTTAAAAAGTGCACATTATTCATCCAATAGACTACTAGATACATTACTGCCCTGCTCACAACGCATCAAACAGACGGCTAAATACATTACTGCCCTGCTCACAACACATCCAATAGCCGCTAGATACATTACTGCCCTGCTCACAACACATCCACTAGCCTACTAGATACATTACTGGCCTACTCACAACACATGCAATAGCCGCTAGATACATTACTGCCCTGCTGACAACACATCCAATAGCCGCTAGATACATTACTGCCCTGCTCACAACACATCCAATAGCCGCTAGATACATTACTGCCCTGCTAACAACTGCTCACAACACATCCATTAGCCGCTAGATACATTACTGCCCTGCTCCCAACACATCCAATAGCCGCTAGATACATTACTGCCCTGCTCACAACACATCCAATAGCCGCTAGATACATTACTGCCCTAATCACAACACATCCAATAGCCTATTAGATACATTACTGCCCTGCTCACAACACATCCAATAGCCGCTAGATACATTACTGCCCTGCTAACAACTGCTCACAACACATCCATTAGCCGCTAGGTACATTACTGCCCTGCTCCCAACACATCCAATAGCCGCTAGATACATTACTGCCCTGCTCACAACACATCCAACAGCCGCTAGATACATTACTGCCCTAATCACAACACATCCAATAGCCTATTAGATACATTACTGCCCTGCTCACAACACATCCAATAGCATACTAGATACATAACTGCCCTGCTCACAACTGCTCACAACACATCCAATAGCCGCTAGATACATTACCGCCCTACTCACAACACATGGATGCCTGACATATCATGGGTATGCAATTGCAGATATCAAGTGTCATCAAGAAATGTATTACAAAAATGTAAGAAGTTATAATTTTGATGAAGAACAAAGCATGACAATTGTTTTCAAATAATAACGCATTGACTTGAAGCTGTTCCTCATTAAATAATAAAGGAATGAATCTTCGTGACATTAAAAAATGCGAAGAGTGTGTTGTGCCTCGTCGCTGCATGTGTGTTAAGTGTTAGCTTGATAACGGTGTGAGCATCGACATCGAAACGACGCTAATGCAATACACCAGGAGTAGATATCCAAAAGGTTGATCCACGTTGAGGTGATACCACCGGCTAATGAGGAGTCCGACGCAAATGTGATAACACAGCGCCAACATCACTGGCAAAACCGTGCCAATATTGAAGGGGGGTCATGTTGAAGAATAAATAATTTTATTATTTTGTAATTTCTTTAACCTTTCTTAACAAACACATACAAGGGCTTCGAACTATCTAAATAAAAACTTAATTTCTTTTGTCACGGTGCTTCACCTCACTTTTACGTCCACGTATCATGAAGTGTGTTACAACACTCAGAAAAGTCTCCACAGAGTCATGCATCTCAAAGTCTGCCCGCGTCTTTAGCCACACTACCTGATACATGCCAATATCAACCACTTGTAAACATCCGTGCCTACGTTCAGTGAATATACCAGTTCTTCATGGTTACCCCAGAACAACACTTGAATCTTGCACTTTGTGACACATTCCTGACCAAACATATTCCAATATAAGAATGCAGAACCCTGGTGTGTGGAGGTCTGCACATGACGTACAGTTCCCGTTACCAAACATCTTCGTTTATAAGAATTATAAAAGTTCGTATTATGATCTAGCAAATACATAAAGTCTTCAGTCGTCGTCTTCAACACTCCAAGAACCGAACCACGTCAGCTACGACAGCATCAGCAAGACCACCACGGCTGTTACCTGTAGCAATCAATGACAGTCATCCGATGGCCTATGTTCATGAAGTGGTCGGAGTGTTACGACTACGCTCATCTTTATTTAATATACGAGATATCTGATATTGCCTGCCCTTGCTGAACGACGTCAGATACGTCATCATCCAAGTACTATACGTTATTATGGAGAACAGATCCCCATTTATATATAAAGTCCGAGTGACCTCCTTCAAGTTTCCCGTGGTGCCTCTATGTAAAATTAGCTTCGGGCCACACACCTGCATGTACTCACCCTGTCATGGCGTCTCCGTACAGATAGCGCCCGTACAGATCAGGAAGCGTCTTGCCTCTGTACACATATCCCCCGACGACGGCGTGATGGAGGCTCGTGTGATTGAACACGTAGATCGGCAGCGCTTCGTTCTCTGTAACCACAAGTTTACAGAATGTTGTTTAACATATGAAAAAGACGTATCAACAAAGACAGGCAGCGGTAAATCACTTTCATACGAAGGTGCACCAGTCGTGGAGGTTGATTTTGTAAAACGAAGGCTACCTACCTATTGTTCCATTGCTGCACCTGGAGCTGTCGAAGCACTCGTTCCCCTCCTTGATGTTCCAGCCGTAGTTCCTCCCGCTGCGGGTGACGTCGATCTCTTCATAAGCTCGCGCCCCTGGGTCGCCACAGAATATTCGCCGCTCATCTGCGAGATGGGAAAATGACGTGACATGTTGATTCAGGAAGTGACTCCCGACATCACCAAGGGCGGATCCAGCATTTGTATTTGTTTGTTTGTTTGTTTGTTGTTTAACGCCGCACTCAGCAATATTCCACCTTTATGATCGCCGACTGTAAATAATCGAGTCTGGATCAGACAATCCAGTGATTGACATCATACGCATCGATCAACGCAATTCGAATACGATGACATGTATCAACCAAATCAGAGAGCCTGGCCTCCGATCCCGTTAGCCGCCTCTGGACCAGACAACGAGAGAGGATGTCTACAACATACATACTAGAGCACAGGTGTGCGTCCCTGTACCTCGCTGACACCCCAGGGCAAACTAGGGCACAGCTGGTGTGCGTCCTTTTACATCACTGACTCCCCGGACGTTTTGGAAACGGGTGACCTTTGCAATGACCTGCTACACGCTTCCACAACGTGATGTCAACAATATCCATGCTAGAATATCCTGATGTGTTATCACACTCCTACTGCAGTCTAACTGATGTTAAATAAGAAGGAATTCTCGCTTAAGGAAAACAGACCAGACTGGCAGCTCTGATCACGACGGCTTTGTGACATGACTATCGCACTGGCAGCCATTCTTCAATGACCCGACAGCAATAAACAACTTCCTGGTCCTCGCCACCTGCGGTTCTCACATCGGAGACTTCACACCGTGTGATGGAGAGTCGTGGAGAACACTTGTGATCGTGGAAACAGAGACACAAGACATGGCTCTGGTGTGTTGGAACTGGACCGGACACTATGGGCGTCTACTCAATCACAGAATCAGTAAATAACCTGTTTGTTTGCTTGTTTGTAGTTTAACGCCGAGCTCAGCAATATTCCCGCTATATGACGGCGGTCTGTAAATAATCGAGTCCAAACCTAACCGTTCAGTGATTGATATCATAAGCATCTATCTACGCAATTGGAATACGATGACATACATCAACCAATTCAGCGAGCCTGACCACCCAATCCCGTTGGTCGCCTCTTACGAAGACCTATTCTAAAGCTGATCTTCACGTGTCGGTAGACAAGAGAGGTAATCATGTTACTTTGTTGCATGGAGACGTGCGTATGTGGAGCAGATGAAAGTTATAATCGTGGAGGATATACACAGATATAGACAGTCTGTTATAATATGTATGGTATATTCACATCTCGTTTACCACCTCGGTGAAACTCACGAGCACGGGTATGGTGCTGACAAACCTGGCGGACCGTGATTCGAACCCACAGTCATAGGTTTCTTTCGGGCCCAAGGGACACAACTCTGCACAGCGAATCGTCTGTGAAGTTGCCATGGTGATAGTAATGAATAATTAAAAGGACATGTCTATTCAACAATGAATACAGCTATAACCTGCATCACGTGGGGCTTTCCTCCCACATTAAGCTGACACGCCGTGATATAACTGAAAAACTTGCTCACTCACTCACTAACTCACCCAACTCACTCACTCACTGTATTACCTTTCATTCTCTGTATTACCTCTAATGCCCTGTATTTCCTATCATGCCCTGTATTACCTCTAATGCCCTGTATTCCCTATCATGCCCTGTATTACCTTTAATGCCCTGTATTTCCTATCATGCCCTGTATTACCTCTAATGCCCTGTGCTACCTATCATACCCTGTATTACCTCTAATGCCCTGTATTTCCTATCATGCCCTGTATTACCTCTAATGCCCTGTATTTCCTATCATGCCCTGTATTACATCTAATGCCCTGTATTACCTCTGATGCCCTGTACTACATCTAATGCCCTGTACTACCTCTAATGCCATGTATTACCTCTAATGCTTGCCTTTTACCACGAATTACGAAAGCCATAACCTGCACGTGCATTTTGCTTTACTGTTTTCATGCATGACATTTTTTAACAAGTGTGAAAACAATGCCGTTTAAGACATTTCAAATCGACAATGACTGCGTTTTGACGCATCGTTTGTCGAAAATGAGGCCACAGACATTTTCCAATAACATATATCCAATTTATATACCGGAGTTGTTGTGAAGTCAGTTTCAATGAACTACATACGACCTGTGTGTTTCTGTTTTTAAAGAGTGTATATCATGAGCATGTGTTTATGAATCACTTTCAAATATTAATTATACCAGGTGTTCTCGAGAAGGTGAACGTATCCTGCCCCACAGGTGGCACCCGTCTGTTACAATGTAAATTGTGATAACGTGGTAAATTGTAATAAACTGCGGAAAATGTTATAACACTGTAGTAAAATGTAATACTGTGGTAAACTGTAATAAAACCTGCTGTAAATTGTTATGACTGCACTGCGGTAAATTGTTATAAAAACTGCGGCAAATTGTAATTTCATCTCTCATTCCTTCAGGCTCCAAACATAATTCGAGTTCCATGGTTTGTTCGACCAAAGCATGAGCGGTTCCAACCTCCAGAGCGATTTTGTTTAAATTTTGGTGATATCATGTGTGTGTGTCTGTGCCTGTAAAATAAGTCTCATTATTTCGAATGCTTCAATATATGAAACGAAATTCACGAAGTGTAGACTAGAGCAGTTTTGATTTTACTCTAATAAACATGCAAACAAATCAATCACAGGACCAAAAGCCAGATTTGACATCATTGGAACAAGCTCAAATAAGTAGACAATGCATGCGATGACAGGAATTGCATATGATTCCCAATATGAACTTATTTTGGGCGTTTATTTTATATGAAGCTATACCTTTGAAACATATGATCATCGTGGATTGCTGTATGTACAAGCACCATTGTCATGAATAGTACGACACCATATGTAAAAACATAGACCATCTAGAAAATATATACATAAGACATAATGCATCAGATAACAAAATGTTTCTTGCCTTAATAAGAAGTGGAACGATCAATCAAGCAGGTCACTATCAGCAGTGTTGTGTACTGACCAGTGCTGACCATAATACTAATTTGCATGGTTATGCACTGCGGCCGCTGGACAATAGAATTCATGGAGTGCGATGGGTTTGATGGATACATACTAAATCATTTTTTGCATAAATCTACATTCTTCAAGGTAAAGAAAAGTTATGTAGAAAAAGTGGTCCTGCAAACAGACACAGTCTTACATGTAGTTTATGCGAGCTTATTAAGCACCCTGAAATGATTCACATGTGTGTCTACTTGAAGTACACGTTACATGCACGAGCGTTGGTTGATGTTCTGAGCCTCACGAAGAAGTAATTGCATAAAACTGTTGTGGACACTACACAAGTCATATAGGTGTATCTACTAAACCATCCTCCAAAACAACACTCGAACCTTGCACTTTGTGCCACTTTCCTGACAAAACATATTCCAATGTTAGAATACAGAACCTTGATGTCTCCAAGTCCGATTATACTATTACCACATTACACTATTACCAAACATCTCCATTTAAGAAGCATTTATATTCAAATCTAGCAAATAGACAGAGTCTTCAGTCAACGTCTTCAACACTCCAGGAATCGTACCACGTCAGCACCGACATTATCAGAGCGACCACCACGACTCCTGTAGACTCTCCCCTGTCACCACACCCACAAGTTACCGCCTTCTCCCCGAAACAGAACATCAGAAAATATCAACTGCTGGAACCAATCTGAATTTATAGTGTTTTTGAGGGAAAGGCCGTTGATGTTTTGGAGGTGGAGGGGATGGGGGTGGAGGGGGCTTGTTTAATTGTTTAACAAATACTGGAGGCAATATTGTGACCGCAGAGTTAACATTTAAAATATAACTGTTCACTGGACCCGTTGGATGTCCTGTAACAAATTTGTTGTGGTTCCTAACAAGATTATCGGACCTTTAGTCGTTGTAGTCAATGCTTTATCAACTGTTACCTGTAATGTGTGTTCCGTCCTGGTGCAGGAATACCTTTGCTTAAACCTAAGGTTAATACATTGGCGTACCTCCGAGACGTCTTGAAGATCATTTTTCACCCTGGATATCAAGCCTGAGCTATATTTCGGAAGCTTGACAACTGTTGCTGCTGAATATTATTATCCTTGTCTTTATTGCTATTGTATTTATACTGCCATTGTACTTGTACTGCCATTTGATTTTGTACTGCCATTGAGTTTTGTAATGCCATTCCATTGTGTCCTGTCATTGTAATTACTTTGAAGGATTTTGTATTAAATTGTAAACCTAGTTAATTTTATAATACAATTGGAAGTCGACACGTAACAGCATACATTATCCACATCACCATGTTCATTCTAGCTTTGCATAAATACATGTTGCTTTATCCTATTGCCTAAAAACATATAGTTTGATCCGTGCTTGAATTGACAATGGAAATCTTATCATGAATCTTTTCTCAACCAGCAATTGTCCACACTAAATGAGGCAGTACATTTGACACAAGCTATTCAGGAAGATACATGAATTGATTGTAATTTTCTTTAATTTCGACTTTGAGCAGAGCCTAAATTTGTTTTGACAGGTAATGTTGCATATTGACACTGTTTTGTAGTCTACTTCCGGAATGGGCCTGTATAGGCTACCATTCATCGCAGCATATTTTAATTCTATACGCAGGATAACTACATTTATCATATAATGGGTAGGTTTCTCGGCAGGATAAAGCCAACGGATAAAAACGATATCCGTTGGGGTTATAAGCGGATAAAGATGCAAATTTTAAACGTCAAGTAGGGACTACTTTCACTGTTTATAAACAAACATGTCGTGGCCCTCGTCATTCGGCGATCGAGTCAGAAATAACCATCGGGAATCTGGATAAACTATCATTATCAAAAGAACAGTCTAATATACTGAAAATCAGTGTTTAACTGTGACGTAGCTAAGTCATTTTATAAGTTTTGTCAACTTTGGAGATATAAATTTTGAAACAATTTTGCGAGGGCACTAGGCCTAGCCAAGCGAGATCAGTAGCCATATCTGTGCTTGTAGACCTCTGCGGCTTGAAACCTTCTCCACAAATTAAAATAGTTGGA